CAGTTAACCCTATATGTCACACCCATAGTTGGTAAAGACTCGCTTAATCCAGGATGAGTTTATTTTGGTTTTTTTGGCTATAATTTTCACTGTTCACTGATTTTCATTTACATCCATCTGTCTCCTGTGTGGATGTGTCGGTAATTCATACTCTCCATACTCCACAACTGCTGCCACACAAGCTGTCTTGTAACCTGAGCATCTTTAGCGATGGTTTTGTTTCCTTTTTTGCTTTCCTCTGTTCCTAAACTAGCACCACCTATCGTTTATGAGACTGCAGCAAGTACATCGTGGCTCAAGCGCTAGTACAAATGGTTACGGGGTATGAGGACACCACAGTTCACCCGAGCAGTATCCTGAATCCTTTTTGTTTTTCTTCACGCTGATGTGTTGCTGCAGTTTTAAATCTTACCATATTTGGCTGTTTAGGTTTCTCCATCATTAACCAACACAAAATACCACATTTAAATCATAGCACACCACTTTTATGAACTTCTTACTTTCTTCTTCTTCCTTTTTTTTTTTTAAAGGTTTTTTTTAAGGTTTTTTTTTATTTTTTATGCTTTTTGGCCCCTTTCACATCTGAAATGAGTCCAGCACCCTTGGCCTTCAGTAAGAATAAATGGGATTGGGGCCACAAAAGGGAGAAAGTTTAGAGAAAGGAAAAACATCACGAGATTTATTCTATACCGTTATACCGTTTGCTTCCTGGTGTCTGACACCTCTATTTAAGACGTTTTATGTTAATTTTACCCAAACCAAAACTACTAAGTTAAAACTGCCTTCACGGGAAACTCAGTGCGATTTCTGTTTCTTAGTACAGGCTATAGTGTTTCTACAAGTGGGAGTAGTTTCAACTTTCAGTGAAACTGAGGGTGTTTTGTAAGCACTTTTAAACATTGTAACTCTCAGCAAATGTATCAGTGATTCTCTACAGAAAGCATGACCATATCAGGATCAGATCAGGAATCTCTCCAGCCAGCATAAAAATCCCTCCGCGTTACAGAAAAATGAAAATAGGCTGCAGTGTGATTAGTGCTATCTGGGGCTCTGAGGATAAAGGCTGTATAAGAAGGAATGGTCTGTAAACCTACACATACTTGTGCAGTTGAGTCATGCAGCCCCCCTCTCTCAGGTTGAGTGCTTGGAGGACTGATAATCAGCTGCAGATTTCGACTTTTGTATGTTAATGTGCCAACCGCCAAGCAAAGTCTTGCAGCTTTTCTTTCCACGCTGACCATCATGCCATCATGCACGTCTCACATCTGAGTTTCTGACCTTCTGAACCCTCACGATTTCTCACGTCAGGGTTCCCATCTGTGTAAGCTGTGCTTCAGTCAGTGTATCTAAAAGAAGTTCACTGTGTTCGCTATACATCCCTTTGTGCTATTCCAGGTGTTTTTTCCCCTCTCAAACAAACGCAGAACAGTTTGTTTTTTCATCATCATCACGCCACCGGCTTGTTCAGCAGCCTTTTGAAGTGTTTTATAACCTTTGATTCGTCTCTTTAGAAGTCTGCTGGCCTGCTGTTCATTTTGATAAACAGTGGAGTGTGTGTTCTGTCACTGCTACTCTATAAAATCTACAGAGAGTGAATGTCAGCAAGAGACTCGGCTCTGACACATTTTTAAAAATGTTGAATTTTATTAAAAAAGCAGAATGTAGCTATGTTGCCATTTTGAAAATGAAAGTATTTCATGGTGATGAATCACAATGTGAAATTGCGGTTCAATAAGCAATGTTTAAAATACCAATATGAAAAAAGAACTATAATTAAAGTCATCTTTAAGCTTGTTAATCATTTTAAATATGAGCTAAGGAAGGTGATGTCTTTATAAAAGCTGTAAAGTAAGGACTTGCACACATATTTCTGTCCCTGCGTGTTATTAGTATGATACCAACATTCAATTTTTAGATGTTAGCATTATCCTCAATGTCAGTGTGTGTTTAAGGACACCTGCTCTTATTTACCTTGGATCAAATGTATCACTCTGAAACCAGACCATGCACAAAAACTCAGCAGTCATAGCATTTAAAGACACAAAGCAATTATCTTATACCAACAGCCTACATTTTAGAATATTTGTTAGACTGAAATACAAAGCATTAAACATTAAAATGAAACTCTTCATAAGCTTGTCAACTCACTCCTTCTTGCTGTTGAGCCATGGCTCGCTGTTCATGGCAGGTAAAAATGACCTTCGGGCCAACAGGAAATGGCCCGGTGCTCCAAACACATAGTTTAATACAGTTTTATAAACCAATCCGTTGATTTGACCCTAGCAGCTGGCAATATAGCCTCAGAATTCAGTCACAGTATTTCAAGGAAAATGAAGTGCGTTTTCCATCCTCCTTTTCCCATGACCTGCTATCATTGATAACGCACTGCCTAATTCAAAGAGTGACTCTACTACCACAACTTGCCAGCAGCAGCCACACCATTATAGTACCAATAGCAGTGAGACGGATGCAGTTACATTAGCCGTTACTCACTGTTCTGCACCGTTTGCTGTCATAAGGAGTGCAGCTAACAAGCGCTCCAGCGACATTTGCTTGAGCCAGTTTGTTTACTTTTGCCCACATATCACCCGCTATGGTTATTTTCTCCTCACGTGCCTTGGTATCCCAGTTGTACTCAACGGTGTCTTTTTGCCTCAAGTGGTGAAACAAGTTTGTTGGTTTCTAATTACTTGTTTTTATCTTTGCCTAATATTAAAAACAGTTTGATCTGAAACAAAAATTAAAAAGAAATCAAGACATTAAGAAATATTTTTCACAACACTGTCGCTCCCTTCTAAGGAGCTGACATCTGAGACCGACTCGCTGCGCTCACACTCAGACACATTTGGGTTGTTGCTGTGTACACTACGGAGCATAAACACACAGTATGTCATTGATATCTCAGTGTGACACTTTTATATCATGTAAAAATTTATACTGTTAACATACTGGTATTATACTGGTATGGCAGACAGTGTGATACTGCATAGTTGGCTCGGTAGTTGAATATTAGCCACTGGCGGATGGCGGTAAATGCCACTGTATTTAGAGATTTATGTCTGGGCTCTAAGTGAGTCTGTATTTGTATTTCAATTATGTATTTGTTTATTTAGCCACTATTGGCAAATTAAAACTAACGTTTATGATAATCAAAAATCATACAATCACACCATTTTTTAATTGTTTATTTAATTAATAATCCTAAATAAAATGTGGCTTTATTTAAAATGTCATATTTACATGACATTTGGGTTTAAAGGTTTGTCTTTTTTTAATATTTTGAACAGTTTATTAGATAAATAAGAATATAACAGTTTAATTTAAATGAATTCACTGAAATAAAACTCGTGTTTGCAGCCGTTACACAAGCACTACATTTTAAGGTCACACCAGAAGGTTTTTAAAACTACAGTAAATATCAGGGATTTGCTTATCAGTAGTTTCAAAGTGCTGAGAGGCAGTAAGTAACACCAGGCTTAGTTTGTATCAGGATACTTGATCTTTTTGACAACACAGCAGTGGGAGCCTCTAAGATATAAAAAGTCTCTTTTAAACTGTATACTCTGTACAGAGGGAGCTGTTAGCTATTCTATGATGTAACAATAATCACTATAAGGGTAAAATCTACCCCATCGGGCAAGCTTTTGTTATATCCATATTCATTTTATTGTTTTTCTTTCTTCTTCTTTTTGATGGAGGAGTTTATTAGTTTTTTTTTTTTCCTTGCATACATAAAACTTTCAAGAGGTCTTGTTCTTCTCTCCAAATAAAAGTTGTAATGGCAACACATTCAAACATTTTTATTTGATTTAGTTTTCATTTTTTTCGAGAATATATTTTTTTTAAGTCTAGCAGTAACAGAAAAAGTCTACAGACCTGTGTTAAGCAGGCTATTGAAAACTCTTTGTCTTGGCTGCATTCAGGATAATTAAATTTGGAACGTTATGTTCATAGATGTAGTCATCCCAAAAGAGCCAAGAAATTCACTGTTTTGCCTTTTTAATCTGGTAACTTACTTTTGGAAGTAAGTTGTTATAGTGAAATTTCCTTTTATAATATATTTCTTTCTTACTACTCAGAAGAGTAACTCTTCAGAGTAGCTTTTTTTTTTTTTCTCCATTCCTTGGGGACATTGGTTATGTTGTCCAGATGATGTGTACCCTACCTGTACATTATACAATTTTGCTTTCCAGTCATTTTTATACCAAAAGGATTTAACTGACAAAGATCAGTCAGGTTGAACAGTTTTTATCTTGTGCATTGAGTATCTGCCTCAAGGCTTCTGGAGCAGTAAATGTCTCCACTCGGGGTCTGTTAGTCACAGTTCACTGCAAAACATTATAGCGCCCAAAATATGTTTTAACTGGATAAATCCTTCCAGATGTCAAGGACATCTATACAAACAAACTGGTAATAAAAAAAACACACAATTATGTAACAGAACAAAAACAAAACAAATAAACCATAAATGTAAAAAAAAAAAAAAAAGAAATTTTAACTACAAAATAAATCTAGTAAATAAACAGAACCCTGACACAATTCTTAAAACTATAAGGAGCTTCGTTTGAGCTGACAAAGTCAAGCATATTTCCATATGAAAAGATTATGAATATCGGATATTTAAAGGCTATTTTATTTATAATCAAAATCATTAAGGCTTTGTTACCAACTTTCTTTGATACCAAAGAGGCATTAAAGAAAAATCGAGTTTCTAAATTCATAATATTAGGCAGCAGGAAGGTTAGTCGTAATTTGAACAAATGAAATGTTCCATCAGAATTGGAAAATTGTTGTAAAGTATATTCTTAAATAGCATACACAAATATATCTGCACGTGACTTTCCATTATTCCTGCCCACACCATTGGATCAATTACTATGAAAAATGTGTCTATAATTTTAAAATGATCACAACTGCATTCATAAACATACAGCTAGGGTCCTATGACACCACTGAGTTGCTTGAAGGTGAAGTAACTCTGTTTTGTGTCTGCTTTCCAGGTTGAGGAGGGCAGTAAAGCAGCAGCTGTGGGTCTGCAGGTGGGAGACGAGCTTGTCAACATCAACGAGATTCCCCTGACTGGATATAGACAGGAGGCAATCTGCCTCGTAAAGGGATCCCACAAGACCCTCAGTCTGGTGGTGAAAAGGTAGGTAACCTGTCCCCAGTTACAGGATGTTTACATCCCCTTCGCCCGATGGGTCGCTGTGGTAACAACTTCAACCATGGAGATGGAGGATCCTGCTTCTCACAGCTGTTTGAGTGTATGCAGTTCACTATTTGAGTTCCCAGCAGCTGGATGTTCCTGTTTTACCAGGTTGTTTTAGCCCGTAGTCATTAGGAGTTAGTGGCGTGTGAAAGTTGTTCATGACGAAACGGTTCGAAGAAGGAAGTAAGGATATGAATGACAT